ACGATTCGGTCCAGGACGGACCGAAACGTCGTCGTCCCTTCACCTTCTAGTGTGTGTTCTGGTCAACATTCTTCAGCCACGTTATTGTGACAAATCGCCTGCATAGGAGGATCGTCCGGTGTAATCACACCGTCAGAGCCAAACCAATGCCCCCTAACTACCGGGCAGTTGCTCCCGTGTGTTAGTGTGATGGTCGAGGCGCTGATGGAAGCATCACAGAGCACAGCAGAGGGTCCCATTGTTGATGGAGCCGAGAGGGACCTGGTGAGTTCTGCAGGCATTCTGGATCACGGGATCTCCTCAATGGTACAGACCTGACTACTGAGGTCAGTGAGGTACTGAACTATAAAAGTAAAGTTTTGACTTTATAGTTCAGTATTTAGTGCATGGGGTCTTCTGGCACTACTACTGCTGAAAACGAATTTTAGACATAGAAAGAAGGAACGGCCTTCTAGTTCAATATACTGAGAAGAGCATGGTATGCTTATGACTAAGTTACTACTGGTCCGCGAAGTCCTCACTTGAAGACATCAAGACGGAGCCACGAAGTCTTTACCCCTCACGATAACGCTGCCAGGAGAAGCTGTTTACTTAGCAAACTTAAGCCCGGATCCCACTGGAGACGTCGAGGACCTTGAGGGGAGCCGGTCGGCCGAGCAGACAGCACGCTGGACTTGTGATCCTGTGGTTCCGGGTTCGATCCCAGGCGCCGGCGAGAAACAATGGGCAGAGTTTCTTTCACCCTATGCCCCTGTTACCTAGCAGTAAAATAGGTACCTGGGAGTTAGTCAGCAGTCACGGGCTGCTTCCTGGGGGTGGAGGCCTGATCGAGGATCGGGCCGCGGGGACACTAAAGCCCCGAAATCATCTCAAGATAACCACACTCAAATTTACGAAGTGCCAACGAGTACAAGATCAACATTTCCACGTACATTCAGTGACTTGACTGGATATCGCAGAGGATAGAAATAGCCTAAGATACTCTATCTCTTTGAGATGTATTTTATTTTCTCAAGAAACGTACTTGAACTGAAGATACGTGTAAAGGTTCAAATACGATATAGGACCTAATACACCAATGTATGGATGCAGAAGAGAATATTAGAGGAATAACATTGGAACGATGAACGCGAGCACCAAGCCGCTGCTTATCTCTCACTAAGAGCGTTTTCTTCGAGGGAGAGGAAGCACACAAGAGGCTGATTGCCTCAACAGGCACCTTCGTGTAGAGGCTCGCAGACTACATTATGGACCGCGTGTCCAATGTATCTTGTGTTTGGCATGAAATGATGCAATTTGCCTTACAAGAAAGAGTGATTTTCGCTATTTTCAAATATTTCTTTCAAAATTGGTTTGCTCCAATTATTATTATTATTACACTAAGAACTTGAATAACCGACTTATGTTAAGTCAGATCAGGTTTTAATAATTTATATGTTAATTGTAACTAAAAAGATCTGATTAGATATAATGTAACACAGCTTTAGCCATAAGAAAAACAGAAAACTATTATATTTCAGGAAAATTCGACTTGTTAGGCAACTTGGCATATTAGATACATATAGTACACAGACCTTACTTTAAATACTTCAAAGTTCCAAATGCCTTTGCTGGGACTGGAACCTCCGCCTGCGTGATGCAAAGTGCTGTACCGCTGTACCACCACCCTACATAAGCATGGAAGAGAATGCTTATCTCACAATCGACTTGAGAATGGTCCAGGACGGACCGAAACGTCGTCGTCCCTTCACCTAGTGTGAGGTCTGGTCAACATACTTCAGCCACGTTATTGTGACTCCTCGTCTGCAGCATGGGAGTGTCTTTATGAACTCAGTCAACCCCATGCCTGAGTGCATTGACTTGAGAGTGAGTGAGAGTTGCCCAAGTGAGAACTTACAAGTATTTGAAGAGGCCACCTTAACATTCATATGAAAAGAACCATTACAAATGAGAAGATTATACAATAATGTATTCCCATAAGGACTGCAGCAGGCTGTAGGTTGTATAAAAACAATACTTGTAGACAATCAGTGTCAGGTTAATCAGATGGCCGAGTTCTACATAAAATAAATTAGCTACACCAAATGTACTGGTAGCTAGTTGTAAAGTCAGAGGAAGAATAATGATTTGTGATTCAAAGTCTACTCTTCAAGCACTTGAAAATTTAAAATAGCAATCAAAAGCAATCAAACAACCTGTGAGCTACAAAGAATAAAGGGTTAAGAATATCTTTTATATCGATACCATGTCTCCTCAATATAACCCACCATAATGGCAGACACTGCAGTCATATTACCATGAAAGATGAAGTTGATTTAGACCTATGTAGCCCCATCTCTGTTGTTAAGACAAAGTTGTT